TTTTGGTCCCCTCATGGCTGGTTTTGGTTTTCAGCCCTTTTCTGTATCTTTGCTTGTGTCAGGAGAGCCTGGGAGCCTGGGGTGTTCACATTTGGTGGTGTGAGCCGTGGGTTGAAAGCGGGTTTCTTGACAGCACAGTTGCTGGTGCTTATTTCTACCTGATTTTTGCAACTTCACCCAAGTCCTGAGCTGTGGGTTCAACCCGCAAGCTTACAGCATGCCTCCACCTGTGATAGGCCTGTTGGACCTCTGTTGGGGCTTGGAGATGTTGGCCAAAGAGCCCTGGCCATGGTGGGGGAGATGCTGAAGCATGGAGGCCAGAAGGAAAAGGGACAGACTCTGCCCCAGAGCGCTTCCAGCCAAAGGGAGGAGGGGACAGCTTAGCACGAGGAAGCAATTAGAGGTTCTCGGGCAGCGTGATCGTCTGTAGTCACAGCACATCAGAGCCTTGCTGACCTCGACTTTTAAGTGAGGCTTATGAAAAATGAACCAAAGGTGGGCTGCTAATTGAATCCTTGCCTGGTCCTCTGCCTGCCCCCGAGCACAAAATCGGAGCGGGCTTTGTGAGGGCATGTCAGGAGCCTTTCTCTAATGAAGAGAGCTGAGGGAGTGGGAAGATGTGCTGACATCTCGCCTCGTTTATTATCTTCTGAAGCCTGCAAACAAGAGGGATGAGAACAGCAGCCTGGGGAGCGGTTGGTGTTTCTGGAATAGCGTTACACGTCTAATTTATGGTGTTAATATAGATCAAGAAGTTTTGGGTCCATGGAGCAACTGCGGGAAGGACTGACCTTTCCCAAACTTGGGTTATTTTCTGTGGTTCTTTTGGGATCATCTGGAGTTAATCAGTATGGTAACTTTCAAAAATCAGTATTGCCTAAAAATACATACAATCACTTTTGTTTTCAGTGGAGCAACATTTGCTGTAAGTAGAGGGTTGGCTTTTTTGAAAATAAGTTTCGGTGTTCCAGCTCCACTGTGCACCAGCCTTGCTTTTAAATTTATAACCCTCCAAAATGAAAAGTAAATTGATTGTGTTATTCCCAGCCCTTTTATAAAAGTTAACATTGCAAAAACAGATGTGAAATGTGGCCTCGCAGATTACAGTCTGGGCTTGGGGTTTTTGGTCGGGGTTTGGTTTGGTTTTGTTTTTTTTTTCCTTTCTCTCTCTCTGCTGTGTCCCCGAGGAGCAGAAATCTGCCTTTTTCCAGCAGGAGGAAAATTGTTCTGTGTCTGAATTGCCTCCTGCTAGCCTTCTGCAGGATGCTGCAGGACACGGAGCTCAGAGGAACGATAATGCTTTTACAAAAACACGCGACTTAGCAGGGAATTTTTAATTATGAATGTGCACAAGAGTTCAGATTGCCTGGGAATTTGGTAATGCTCTAGCAAGCCTCACACCTCTAGGACATCCATTCAGCTATGGCCCAGGGAGACAGTGATTAAAAGGCACTGTCAAGCAGATTATTGGTCTTCAGCATCCTTTGAGGAGGCAGGTGGGCATGTCCTCACCTCCCTCGTCACCCACCACACCAGGGCTGGATGCAGCGTCATCCCCTGGGCTGGAAAAGCAGAGTCTGGGCAAAGCCTGGGGCTCCCGTGCTTTCTCCAGCCCAGTGGGGGCTGAGCTGTTGGGTGTCACGTTGGGGCAAGGCTTTGTTGTATTGCAGCAGTCCCAGGGCCACCGAAATCTTGAAGTGGTGAGTGACTGGTCTCATCCATGCTCTGCAGGTCTTTAGGCTTCGTTATTCCGTGCTCTGATATGTTTAAAAAACCCCCAAAGACCCAAAACAAAGTTCCTCAGCGAGAACTGCTAAAAGGCCTCCATCACTTCCATAAACCTCACACATATAAATTATTGCCTTCTATTAGTCACTTAAAAGGCTAGGTTGCTTAATTATTTTCATCACAGTAATCACTTATTTACAAGGTGGGGAAAAGTGCCAAGCACTTCCAAGGCGAGCAGCGCAGTAGGGCTGTGGCAGAGGAGGCAGGGCTGCAGAACATTTCCTTCCTCCCCACGAATGTAAATGCTTTTGCTTTTCTTGGTCGTGTCAGTGATGGTGCCCAGCCCCTGCGCACCCCGGGCTGTTCATCCCAGGGTGGTGGGAGCTGCAGGAGTGCGGTTGGCGGTGGGCAAATGTTTTTTTGTGGAGTATGGACTGTGCAGGAGTCGGAATGTGAGCTGGGGCTGGTAGGAGGGGGAGTGGGGTCCCAGGGGTGGAAGTGTAAGTAGGGAAGAGTAAAAGGAAAATGATAGGAGATCTGGAGGGCTATAAGACGCCCTGGCACTGCCCTCCACCCCACTCCACTTCACCCCATCTCCAAACTGCTCTGCGAACGTGCTGCCTCGTGCTCTGGGGTGCAAGGGTTGTGAGATCCCTTTTAAGGTCCCTCCCGAGAGAAGATGCTCTGATCCGCAGCCTTTGGTACCCACCCAGGAAAGAGGTTCAGGTTATTTTCAGGACCACAGGGGGAAGGAGGGGTCTGGCAGAAGCTAAATGTGTCCCCCCGAAACCTGCTTGCAACCTGAAGAAGGTGTTTGTTGTTTTTTTTTTTTCCTGAAAGCTTGCCTGCCTCCTTCCGATTCCATCAGCCCGCTCACAAGTGATTCCCTCCCCTTCCACGCCTCGCGTTCCAGCTTTCGCTCTGTGTTTTCCACATGTTTCTGCTAAGGAATCCACAGTGCCTCCCCTGCTTCCCAGCGAGAGTCACGCCGCTCTGAGCCGACCTCCATAAAAGCCCCTAATTCCATTAAAGTCCATTACAAGCTCCTCTCCCGCAGGTCCCGGCGGAGCGCGGGGCAGCGTCTATCGGAGACCGCAAGAAAACAAATGGCCACTTTGAACAAATCCCAGGGCCTCGTGCCAGGCGGGGATTCCCAGCTATTTACAAACCGCCCTCGCTTCCTTTCCTAATAAAGAGGTAAAATGGAAGCAGGGAAAATATGCATTTTATAATCACCCAGATTTAGTCCTTCAAAGGATTTATTACAACCTTTTCTTTTCAGGCGTGGAAAATGTAATCTTATCTAGTTTGCCGGCTGGCCCAGCGCGGCTCGCCGGCTCGGTTTTACAGCAGAAAGCTATCAACCAGCAACCTTTGGGGACACGCTGTGCTTGGGTGTTAAAGTCCCTCGAATGCGTGAAAGCAGTTGAAATGTGTATTAAAATATGGCACTAGGAGAGGAGGATATCTGCGCAATTAGCACGCTGAGGCTTTCAGCAGCTCCTCGCGACGTCGATCCGGTGCATCGGCGACGGGGGCCGCTGAGATTTGGTGGAGGAAGAAAACAAACACGCTGCTGCCGCAAAAACCCTGTGTTCGGAGCGGGTTAGCAGCCAGCTAGCTTGGTGCACGTGGGATTTTAGCAGGGATCAGATGCAAGGGGTTGTAGGAGATAAATGCCTTGAACCTTGAATTTTAATTGATGCTGTGTGCGAGCAGCAGAAGCTGCTGGCGCTGGGGTGGTTTGCGTCCCCTCTGCTACGCTGGGGAGCAGTGCCAGTGACATTCAGAGTTCAGCAAGCAAAATCCTATTAAGATAACGTCACGGCCTTTCTGTTTTACTGTTTGCAAGCCAGCCATAACATCATTAAATTACACAACAGGGAAGTGCCTGCTGCCAAGGAGCTCTGCTCGAGATAAGATGTGGGTTGAGCCGCTGCCAAAATTTGAGTTGATATGACAAGAAATTTGGAGCGGGTTCAAGGCTTGATTCACACAAGACATCGCAGCGCACAGGTAAACACTGTGCAGGATTGGTCCCAGGGGCAGCTCTGCTGCTCTGAGCGGGTTGTGGAGGTGGAGTGGCAGTGCCTGTGCGGGGCAGGGCTCCGCCAGGCAGGCTGAGGCTGAAGGCGTTTGTAGTAGCCAGATTTACTCCCGTTCTTGCCTTCAGCGCCGACAAGCAGAAGACAAACTCTGGCAGGATCTGTAGATGAAGCTCAAGCAACTGTTCGCAGGTCCCCACCATCCTTACCTCCGCCACCCACTCCCCAGCCCTTTCGGAGGAGTCGGAAGCAGCCCGACAGCTAAAGGGATTGACTTTGGAGGTCCTTGCAGCGGTAACTGGAACGCCTGCGGTGTGAGGGCAGTTTTGGTAGTCAGTGTCTGTAGCTGAGCTGGGGCGGATGGGACCCAGCGGGGTT